GAGAGAGAGAGAGAACCTGATAATACGTTTGCGTTTGCATTAATGAAAGAATTGTTAAGTAGTGTTTGATTTTCTTCTAGTTTTCTTCGGTATAAGATGTCCGGCACTTCCTTTTTGCCCACAAACAAAATGCCCAAATTTTGAAACCTATTTTTAAATTAAATATATTTTTTAAATGACTTGATATGTAATAAACAGCTATGATAGCGCAGTTAACAGTTTATACATTCATTCATTGCATTATTAATTATGATTACAATTTAATCTCACTTCACATTTGGAGTACTTGGTTGCATATAATTATAGGTTATAAGTTATAATGTACATACAATGTATAAAGATCTTCAATAAAATTAGACCAAGTGAGATTTGCGATTACTCTGGAACCATTGAGGTGATAATATTGAAACTATATTTCCCGTCGTTGATCTAAGATATATATGTGTGAAGTTTCAATATTATCACTTCAATGGTTCCAGAGTAATCGCAAATCTCACTCGGTCTAATTTTATTGAAGATCTTTATATTAAAAAAAATTATTTTAGGCTCAATTCAGTAAAATATTAATTAAACCATTTTTGCAATTTAAAACTTAAATCACTTGGTTGTGACTTATTTTTTTAAAACCTAGAATAATTTTATTTAATTCATATCATAATATGAAAATTTCTTACGTAGCAATCATATTATCAGATAAAGGGAGAGTACAATGCCCCAGATCATTGCAGTGTCTGCCCATAAGTTTATGAACATGGTTCTTTGGATGATCTTCATTGGTATAAAGACTCGCCCTAATATATACCTGAGCCAATGAGTTGTAGTTTTCTAACTTTAAAAAATATTTATTAATATTAAAGTTAACATTTTAACAATTATTAAAAGTAATTATTAATACAATATTAACAAATAATTATGGGTTATTTGTGCAAAGTTTGTTGTAGCATTCCGATTGTTATTTTATTTTCAACATACGTTTATATGTTTGGCAAAGAAGTATAAACAGACTTACAATATAATATTAATATAATATAATATTATGATTTAATAATTAATTTAACACAACCTATTATATGGCTATAATTAGTAATTATCAACACTGCTTTAGATTTACACCATCGTGATGAAACAGTGTTTTGTAATTTATACACTATTCATATGTTATTCATATATATTGTACAGTAATATTGTATAAAAGTGGGATTTCTAATTAACCTGAATAAAATATTTATTTATGAAAATAAAAATGAATGAACTTTTATAAAACTATAATATTTTGAGCATTTATTTATAATTAAAAGGGAGTCTATGACTATAAATATAGTAACGTTTATCGTGAATTATATTTTGAAAATTAGCTTGGTAATTCAGTAATCACGTATATATCATATCAATCCCTCCATCCCTCAAACCAGTCATGGTAATTATTAATTACACAGTAAGACTACAATTACAATTAGGTATTTGGTTTTAATTTTTAAAGATGTTCGTGAAATTGTAAGTTTAATTATAACTCAAATTATGTAATTCTCAAGAATAAATAGTGATATTAAAAATTTTGATAAACAATAAAACTAAATAATTTGCTGTTAATAGAAAACTTTGATCAAAGAATACTCATTAAGTTAAACGGTGTTAAGTTGTAATGAAGAGTACATACTTTGACAGTTGGATATGTTTTCTTGTTTTGGGAACTATTCTCGCCGGTGAGCCCTCCGTGTGAACCCTTTTCACTTCTATACCTGTATCTGATTCTGTTTGTCGGCTGCTCTACTATTTTCAATTGAGGTCTATCTATAATTTTAAATATTAATATAACTTTAATTAATATATTATTATTAAAGTGTTATCAAATGTTAATTGTAATGAATATTGTCATACTTTGCCTAATATTTTCAGCATTAATCTCATGTTGAGTGATATTTATATTGTGAGAGAAATCATTTTGAATATTTGGCAAAATAAGTGATGGCATCGGAGAAGTGACAGCATTTCGGCTCACATTTGGTGCGTCCAGTGTTAGTATTAGAGGAGTAGACGATTCAGACATTAATACTGATGTTGAGGATTCAATATTATCACTATTGTTATCACTAGTGTTTGTTATATCTATTGCGAGACCATTAATATAACACGAATAGGAATCTTGGGAACTACTAATGGTTTGAGGAATAGTTGAGGTGTTAATTGAGATGATGTTTGATGACAAATGACACATTTGTGGCACACATTCAGTGCTATTTTCCGCTACATTAGACATCAAATAATTGTGACTTTGAGAAGACATTTATCACATTTGAATAAAAAATGGTCATTTGAGTTTTTTCAATGAAACTCGTATATAGAATACTATAATTATTATAATTGAGTAATATTTAAATCACATATTGAAATAAATTCTTTGTCAATATTCTTATAATTAGTTTCTAGATTTACAAAATAGAAACAAAAATATCACATTTGATGACATTTTGATGAAATTATTGTTGAAAGAAAAGCCATTTCTGTAAAGTTGGAAAACCAAATAATGAGCTCAATATTTAATAAAATTGATTATAAAATTATAATTTTTGTTATCAAAATACAACACTTAAGTTATTAAAAGCATAAAACATTACTGAATGAGTTTTAAAATATCTTTATANCTGTAAAGTTGGAAAACCAAATAATGAGCTCAATATTTAATAAAATTGATTATAAAATTATAATTTTTGTTATCAAAATACAACACTTAAGTTATTAAAAGCATAAAACATTACTGAATGAGTTTTAAAATATCTTTATAAAAATGTTTAATTTTTTAAATATTAAACTCAAGACATTTATTAACCACAATTATAAGTTAAAATTTATAAATTAAAATACAATCAAAATATTGAGCAACATTTGATGTTTGAACGATTGAATTAAGTAAAAGACAAACTGTTTAGATATGTATTTCATAAATGATTTAATAATAATGTGATTCTTGTAAAAGAAACGACAAAAGAAGTACTAATGACGTCATTATCCCATAAGAAAGTGTGTATTAATATAAAAAGTGAAGAAAAGTAAAGAGAAGTGTAGTGTCCCTGAAATTAGCGGAAAATCCAGAACTTTAATGTCTTAAGAGTATATGAAATGATGTTCTAATGGACTCAGAGTTAGCTACGGATACACAGGTTTAGGAGGCCTTGTCGTCAGCTAACAGTTGCATAATTTTAATAATTTTGTTTAAAG